GCAATTGGTACCCATGGGAATTCCAATTTATTGTCGGAATATCCTGGTCTTCAAAAAAAAAAAACCAGATATTGTCGATCAGTAACTCAAGCATCTCTTTCACGTCAACTTCAGAGTACGTGTGTGTGCAATGTGTTTTAACAAAATAATTTTGCAAATGACCAATGACCATTGTAAATTTACAAGTTCCGTCTTATTAAAAAAGCAGCTGTCATTGAAATAAAAAAAATCCTGGTTCACACCACTTTTTGAATATATTGTTGCGCAATACACTAAGAGTTTTTCCTTCTCTACTGTCAATACTTTAGTGCGGAGTACAAAAGAGATTTGAATGAACATTTACTGGAACCCGCAGTGTGTCTTTATATGGAATCCAATATATATCGGGTATTTCAAATTTATTTTTGTTCTGTGTAATATTAAAAATATTTAAAACTGACCTAAAATTTTGAAGAATTTCTTCCTTAGAAAGGGAAGTATGAGTATAAGTAGGATTACCACTTGTAGAATTAAATCTTAAAAGTTCTTCTAAAATACAATTAATGAGCCTTACAAACGAAGACAATGTTGTTACCTGCTTTGTCGACAAGGACCAGTACGTACTGATCATATAATCTATCTATTTTTTTAACTTCTGGATTATTGAACACAATATGAATGAGGGTTTTCATATTACCCCTCAATCTTTGAATACGCGGCGTTTACATGGATCTGATACATTTAATCCATTGTGGAAAAAATCAACAATTCCACACTTTTACTTTAACATTAACTTTTGGACGGTATGGGCTAGAAATTTATTTTGAAGTAAGGGCATGACAACTAAGAGTTCATTAATTTGCAAAGGTTACCAGTGTCTATAAAATTCCAGAAGAAAGTGGATGTAACAGCAACCATTGGTCACGTATCTGTGGGATAGAAAGTGTTGAATAGAGATTTTTAAGTTTTTATTTTAATTTATAGATATCTCTGAAGGTTGAACTATTTTTCACTCAGGTGTAAATTTTTGCCAGTTTTGGAGAAATTTGTAATATCATCATAAGAACTTCTTGATGTGTATTGTATTTCCTGTATATAAAGTAAAAAGTATAGTAATATATAAGGTAGTTAAAAAGTATGTATTTTAAAGCAGAATAAATGCATACAGATGTATATGTAAGTTTAAAGGTAAGAGCCAATGGAATTGAATTTATATAGTTAAACAATGTTGCTATCGATGTTCGGAGGTCCGTGTTTGCTCTGCTCCTATTTTGTATTGTTTTATGGACTTTGATATTGAATACTGTTCGGTATCTCCATATCCCTTTTTCTTGCTTCTGTGCTATTTTTTTCTTGCAAGAATTTTCAAAGATTATAGTAATTAGAAACGTATCATGCCATTTTCGGAATAAAACCTTTGAATGAAAAAAAAAAAACCAAAATATATAATCATAAATTATGTTCTCGATGAATAAATATTCATTGGGATTCTGCAAGCAAAAAATATACCCATACCAGATACATGCATTGGTTGTGATGCTACGTTTAAGATATGCAATTGAATATAAGTTGGAAAGGATAAGATTGCATAAAAAAATCCCCCCTACTTGGATTTGAAAGTATGAAAAAATCAGGAGACACATATACAAGGTTTTATTGTATAAAATACAGGGGGGTCAAATTTCTATGAGGGTCATTTTTCAACGTGTGTGAAGTCATAGAATTAATGGTTTGGAATGTTTTTCTACAGTCGAAAAATGACCCTACTTGTCGTAGAATATTGACCGGGGGGTCATTTTTCTACGTAGAAAAATGACCCCCCGGTCAATATTCTACGGGGGTCACTTTTCGTCGTTACACCGGCGTAACTGCCCTCAGTTGAAGAGAAGGCAAAAGCAGTCAAATGACAGGTCTGGTAAAGAACCTATGAAACGGGACAACGGAGATGAGAAAAGAGCATCAGGACCACAGGTGTCCGTAGGCCTCGGTTCATCTATAGAGGAGTGTGGGTTGTACATTGATGTAAATGTTCAAGGGGTAAAAGCTAAGTTTCTAGTAGACACTGGTGCTACTGTTACCCTTGTGTCTGAGACACTGTACAGAAAGTTACCTGCATCAGTGAGACCGAAGCTTTATGAGGTACAGCAGACCATCATGTCGGCCAATGGCACTGCTCTGTCTGTTCATGGGAAGTCGGAATTCAATATTGGCATTGACCAGTTGACATACCACAATGAGGCAGTAGTTGCTAACTTAAAGGCAGATGGCATATTGGGCCTAGACTTTATGAAAAGAAACCACTGCAAAGTCGATATTAGCAACGAAGTTCTGAATGTCAATGGTCGTGATAAGAGAATGACAATTGAAGGTTCACTTGGATGTTTTAGAATTACAGCAGCTAAGACAGTTAGCATTCCGCCAAGGAGTGAGATAATTGTTGCCGGTAAAGTGTGCGTTCCAGAGGGTTTAAGTCTGCCATACTGTGAGAGTATCATTGAACCAGTTGACAATTACAACAATCAGCAGAGCACACTAACTGCGAGAACAGTGGTAAATCCTCAAGAAACTGTGCCAGTTAGACTAATGAATGTTGAACAAGAGTCAAAGGTAGTGTACTCTGGGACCGTAATTGGACAACTTGCTGAGATAGACACAGTGAAAGACACAGTGGTAAATACGACATCAACAGCTACCAGACTGCTGCGCAAGGATCAAGCTGATCTACTTCATAAGAGTAAGGACAACATGACTCCTACACAGTTCAAGCAGGCAGAAGACTTTCTGTTAAAATATACCAGCTTGTTTGCAGAAAATAGCTTAGACTTTGGCAGGACTGGAATAGTCAAGCACCATATCGACACAGGTGACAATAGACCTATTAAACAAAGACCACGAAGGGTACCAGCTCACCTGTCAGATGAAGTGGACAAAAACATAGACGACATGCTTGAAAAAGGTGTCATTCAGCCTTCCAACAGTCCATGGTCCTCACCAATAGTCTTGGTCAGGAAGAAAGACGGGACATTCAGGTTCTGTGTTGACTATCGTCGCCTTAACAGTTGCACTATGCAAGATGCATATCCTCTCCCGAGGATTGACGAGTCACTTGACCAGTTGTCTGGGTCGACCTGGTTTTCCACACTCGACCTTTGCTCAGGCTACTGGCAAGTTGAAATGGCCTCTGCAGACAAACCAAAGACCGCCTTTACCTCAAGACGAGGCTTGTTCGAATTCAATGTTATGCCGTTTGGCTTGAGTTGTGCCCCGGCAACTTTCGAACGCCTCATGGAGAGTGTCCTTGCCGGATTGCAATGGGACATTTGTATGATATACCTAGACGACATAATTATCACTGGCAAAACATTCGAACAAATGCTTGACAATTTGGAAAAAGTCTTTGAAAGACTGAAAACTGCAAATCTAAAGCTTAAGGCCAAGAAATGCTGTCTCTTTGCACGAAGAGTGACATATCTTGGACATGTTGTTTCGGAGCAAGGGGTATCCACAGACCCAAACAAGATAGCAGTTGTCAAAGATTGGCCAATACCTGCAAATGTCACAGAGCTTAGGTCATTTTTAGGCTTGTGTGGATACTATCGGAGATTTATTCAAAACTTCTCTGCCATTGCCAAGTGTCTACATGCTCTAACAGAGAAGGGGAAACCCTTTGTATGGACATCTGAGTGCCAAGAGGCATTTGATTGCCTGAAAAACCATTTGGTTCGGTCCCCAGTCCTAGCCCATCCGGATTTTACTGTTCCATTCATATTAGACACAGATGCTAGTGACCAAGCGATTGGGGCAGTGCTCTCACAGTATGTGGATGGAAAGGAGCATGTCATAGCCTATGCCAGTAGGACATTAACGAAATGTGAACGCAGATACTGTGTGACGAGAAAAGAACTTTTAGCTGTCGTACATTTCGTTAAGCATTTTAAACACTACCTTTATGGCAAAGAGTTCTTGATTCGCAGTGATCATGGTTCGTTAAGGTGGCTGTTCAAGTTCAAAAATCCTGAGGGTCAGCTAGCCAGATGGTTAGAAACCCTGAGCACCTACAAGTTTCAAATCCAACATCGACCTGGCATACAGCATAGAAATGCTAACGCATTGAGCAGAGTACCTTGTCGACAATGTGGTTATGACCCTGAGTGGGAGAAATCGGCATTAGATGAAATAAGTGGCCAATATGCGAATACAGTGACACATGTCAATGCAGCTCTTCCTGTCAACCCTGGCAAAGAGCCTTGTCACAAGATGCAAGAACTTCAAGACAAAGACAGGGACCTGAAACTAGTGAAAGGCTGGCTGCAAACAAAGAGTCGACCTGTGTATCATGAAATAAGTGGACTTGGGTATGTCATAAGATCCCTTTGGTCGCAATGGGAAAGCCTTTCCATTGAGAATGACACCTTGTACAGGAGATACCACGAGGACAATGGCAAATCATCTTGCTTACAGGCAATAGTACCCAGCAGTGAGCGTAGGACAGTATTACAATACTGTCATGATATTGAAACAGCTGCTCACTTAGGTGTGACTAAGACACTGGCACGAATCCGTCAAAAGTACTATTGGCCAGGTCTTCAGGCAGACACAAGGGCCTACATTGCAGGCTGTGAGAAGTGCTCAAAGAGAAAGAGTCCTCAGAAGAAAAAGAGAGCACCCATGGCAATTGTCGAGAGTGGAATGCCTATGGACAGAATCGCTACCGATATCCTCGGTGAACTGCCCATGACTGATAATGGCAACAAGTACATCCTTGTTATATCCGACTATTTCACCAAATGGACGGAGAGCTTCCCAATGCCATACATGGAGGCTGCAACAGTTACCAAGTCGAGGAGGTAGTATCGCGATTCGGTGTTCCTTCCAGTATACATTCAGACCAAGGACGCCAGTACGAGAGTGAGCTCTTCTCAGAGGTATGCCATGTCCTGCACATAAAGAAGACTCGCACCTCGCCGTACCATCCCCAGAGCGATGGCATGGTCGAGCGATTCAATAAGACTCTTGTCACGATGCTAAGCACTTTCGTCAATGAACACCACTCAGACTGGGATAGATATTTGCCTTACGCTATGATGGCGTATCGAGCATCAGTGCACGAAACGACTGGGTTCACTCCCAACTTCATGATACTTGGTCGAGAGGTATCAACCCCACTTGACATTATGTACGATATGCCCAATTCGGTCAAATACATCCCTACTAATCAATGGGCTTGGCATCTCAAGGAGACAATGGAAGATGCCCATAGACATGTAAGGGAAAACATTAAAGCGTCTATGATCAGGCAAAAGCGATATCATGACCAGAAGTTATCCTGGCAGCAGTTTAAAAAGGGTGACGAAGTGTATGTCTTTTTCCCGGTACGGAAAGCGGGATTGTCGCCGAAGTTTACAAGCTACTGGCGTGGTCCGTACGAGGTCATTGACAAAATGACAGACATTACCTACAAGGTAAACTGTGGACCACGAGGCAAACCACAGATTGTGCATGTGGACAGATTGCGTCTCAAACGTAGCCAGACGTTGAGAGATGAGGTTGTAGAGGACAATAGTTCTCAGGAAGACACTGGTCAAGACACAGAGAGGAGTGTCACTGACAATGAAAGAAATGACATAGAAGCACCCCCAAGTGGTGACGACTTGGTTGTTAATGAAGGTGGGGGTAGAATCAGAAGACCGCCTACCTGGTTGCAAGACTATGTGTTTGATTAAATGAACACGGAGTGACCAATGTAAATACTTAACCATTTTGTTACTTGTTTTGCCATATTGTTAAGGTCATGCGGGACGCATGTTCTTAAGGGGAGGGAAGTGAAATGGTTGAGAGAGTTATCTCCCGTTACTTATGTATATAATAATAGATAATCAATGTAAATATTGTGATTAATTGGTCAATTGACATAAGGAATATACAAGAAATATTTATAAATGATGTTCTGTAGGAAAATGGTAATTGTGTTGCCGAAGGAAAGGCCGTTTGTTGTATTTTGTTAATGTTATATCTGAAAACTTGTGAACATTGATCAAGTTGGCGTACAAAGTGTAGTACGACCAACTGGCCTGTGTCTGCATTCTGGTATATTACCACTTGGCGTCTGCAATTTGGTGTATGCAACCTGGAATGTGCTTCTTGCTGTATTATACTTACATTGGTGAATTAGCTGATGACCATAGTGTGGGCAACTTGAATTAGTTGCTGACTTAGTTAATTGATGTGTGGTAGAGGGTAGAAGAAAGTGTACCCTGTGGCAAGGATAGCAAGTTGCATTGTATTTGGAGCCATTTGGCTGTATAAGTGTACTGACCAATTGGTTAGCAGAAGACACCAGGCAGGTGTCAACATAGAAGACCAGTATTCAGGAGACACCAGGCAGGTGTCTGTTGGCTTGTTTAATTAGTAACTTATTCAGGCAATTGTCATAAGGCACCAGGCAGGTGCCAGTATCATTGTATATATTACAAAAAGGCAGTTAAGTCATTTGATTTAAGGACACTAGGCAAGTGTCATATTATCTGTATATATTGCATTAATCATACCCCCAGTAAAACTCGGTAATCCGAGCACGGACCTACTGACCGCTCAGGTCCGACACGTTACATTAATAAGACCAGAGAAATGTAATTGAAATATGTCTTTCCACATTTGTTTCGGCAGTATTTTTTTTCATTTCTCTCTGCAACCTTTTTTCACGCTGATTCACAGAAGGCCCAACTTTATTAATAGGAGTTATGTGTCTTTTCTCAGTCAGAATAGAAATAAAATAAATTTTAATGTAAAGTTTGTAAATATTCAGGCTCTTTATTTGTTTTTTCTTGGGAGGAAGGGCATTACATATTTTTAAGATGATTATTAAGATGATTATTCCTTATGCAAATTTTTAAAAACTTCGTTTTCTAACTGCAAAATTGTATTGCTTAGTTTCCTTGCCGAAGGTAAGGAACAGTTTTGAGTTGATAGTTTTCATAAAAATATAAACTTAATGCGAACATTATCATTTTTATACCCACTATTTTATAATGTAATTTTTTTCTTTTAAACACCTTCTTTTTATTTTTTATCTACAAAATATTTATAATTGAGAAGCCTTTGCAACATGCATTACATCTAGCTGCAGAAAATTTAGAGTTATGGATTTATATTTTAGTTAACTTTGAAAACTTAATTGATTCCGTCAAGTAAATGTTGAGCCCTTTACATCTTTCTTTGACAACGTTGGGGTATATTTCTCTTCATTTCAGCATTTCACTATCCCTTTTATTTAAGTAATGACTCTAATTCTTGGCCATATTATCGAGTATAATCTGGTTTGGGCCAGTTTACGCTTTATAATTCATTATAATTTAATTTTAAAATAATTAAACAACTTTTGATGTAAAATTGTGTTGCTTTTTATAAGTTCAAATTTACTGCGCAATAATACAACCGTAGTAACGGAAGTGATTTGAAACAAGGGGAGGTAATAACTGATACATAGATCTGGCAGCCATGATGCTTGTTTACATGACGTAAGATCGAGTAATTGTTTAAAGTTGAAGGTACATTTATTAAATCTGGAATTTTCCATGGAATCTGAGGACTGGAAATGAGGGGATTGCATGGGTATTATGATTAAGCTGGTTGTCAAGGGGGGGTGTCCCCATACCAAACCAGATTATACAAAATGTTATAAGTTCCTTTTTGGAAATCAACCAATGAGAGGTGTGAATACAAGCAAATAAAATTATTTCTTAATGTTAGATATTTTATATCTTCATCTTGTATATTTTATCCGCCACCCAAAACCTTTAAAGGCTTCTTTTGAGACCCCCCCCCCAAAAAAAAAAAATTAAAATAAAAATTATAAAAGGTAATATGGGTAAAATAATATGCAATTTAGTATAAGAGTATTCCTCAAATAAGAAAAGGAAAGTTTGGTGATTAATTGATGCAGGAAAGAAGGTGAATAGGGCAGGCAGAATGCCTATAGTGCGACAGATAAGATGTGAAAATTTAAATCTCAATTGAATCCAAATTCTACTTGATATTTCATCTAATATTAATGTATACTTTATGTAAAATTTCTACAATTTACAAATACCCACAAAGACAAAATATTTGCTGATGAAAATGCTTATACACACTTAAAAGAACAAAAACGATCATTTTCTTGTACTTCAACAATTTTTTTCAATATGAGTGGGTCTTCCCTCCATTTTTTTTTTGAAAGATGATCCTAAAAGTGTGCTATAAAATACACATTTTGTGGTATTCAAAAACATGGAGCGAAGACCCACTATACCTTAAAAGTACAATTTTATTACACAACATTAGCATCTTTCCGAGAAATACTTCGTCCATTAAGTCGCAGGTCATATCACAAACATGTTTTAAATGCCTAAAATCACCATGAGCGTTGTAGCATAATAGTTAATGCTTTAGTCTCAAAGCAGTATGCTATTGATACGTCGGATTTTTATTGCTTAGGCCATCCTTAAAAAAATGCTTGTTTGGAATTGCCGCCTGAAGGGTTTCAGACACAGGAGGAAGGGAGGGAAATTATTTTTATTTAATTGAATATAAATTTAAAATGTTTTATAAAAATCTCAATAAACAGTAAATACGTATACATTTTCTTACTTTAAAAAAAAGTATCTACCATCAACAATAAAACCTAATTTTACATAGGTCTGACATGTGATAAATGTAATGGGCAAAAAAATTGATTAAATAAAAAAAAATCTTCCTACTTTTGGTCAATAAAATTTTTTCAGGAGGGGGCATTTCAATGAGGCGGGAGGCAATTCCACACAAACTATAATTTTATTTTGGCCTTAGGGTTCGAATCCCACGAATACCATCTAATAATTTTATGAAAGAATTTTTTTACGATATTTTTTTCTCTCTCAGAAAAGTTTTTTTTCTCATAATTTCAAAACTTTCAATTATCAAAAGTTAATTTAAATAATCAATTCACATATTTAATATGATTTCTTAATATCTGACGCTATAGGCATTCTGCCCGTCTTGTTCTCCCATCTTCTTAGAGAAATATATCCTTAAACGTGTACAGAAAACTGCACAACATTTGCATGACGGGATCTGTAGCATTTTTGTCTAAAGGACTAAATATATATCAATATAAACCCTATTGTTTTATTTGAAGCTAGTTTATGAAACTTAAAGAGCGCAAACTTTGATTTCGTCTTGTCAAGTTTCACTACATTCAATGTTAGCGATATCAAAATAAATCATTTAATCCTCTGTTCTTCCATTCATTGATTTGGCTTGTAAATGCAGTATTTTCCGCACACAAATAAGAAACATGGTCAAGGGAGAAGAAATATTTGTATATGAAAAAAAATCTACGTAATCAAACCACGCAGATGTATGGATATGATTGGTTAATGGAGTTATACATTATGATAGGCTGATAAAATTCTATACTACTTCTCCCAGTTCTCTGAACTTTCACGGGGATCAATTAAAATACCAGCGTGTATAAAAACACATTTTCTTTGTTATCTATATACTTTATAATACCATATGATTAAGAACAAAAAGACAATGAATAATATGAAAACAAAAAATTTATTATTTAATAATGATTGAATGCGATTTTCGTATTTCTAGGAAGTAAGGTTACATTTTACATAATACATTATATATAATACATGTATAACACTATTTTTAGAACATTATAAATATTAAGATTTTTTATTAAATTCATTACACATCATATTACATCTATAAAAGTTTTACTTTGTAATATATCATCCATGCCATCATTATCTCAAGAATAAAGTCATAATCATTTATAATAAAAGTTTTTAACTTTAACTAAGATATGTGAACAACTATAAAAAACAACTATGGATAAAAGATATAAAAAGTCAGTGAGGTTTGATCATCATGAGGGTCTCTTTTATCTGTTTATTATCATACACTGTAGGATACCATGGTCTGAACCAGGACCCCGGGGACCAGGGACCGTTAAGGAAGGCGTGGTGACACCAGTTAAACCACCAGCCTCCTCTACTGTAAGCAGCACAGTTACCACCACTAACTCCGTCGTTATCCCTGTCTGGGGTACTGAAGGACATCCCAGACAGATATAAATCACCAGTGTGTAACATAGAGTCGCCTGTAAAATTATCAAAGAAAAATGTCACATAAACACCTATTTCAGATTAGATCATTATTATTTACTAAACATTTAAAGCTTAAAGCATCTATAGTATTCAACAATAAAAACGTTTTTTTAATTACTTTAAATTGCATTGCTTTCAATTACAATAGATGAACTCTGTTTTCATTTAATATTTAACGTTGTTTTTCTGTTATCATTTGATTTCTTTTTTGACTGTATACGAACATGTTGATGAGTATCAACAGAAATAAAATAATGATTGACTGATTGAATGTATGTAGTTTAGCGTCTCTCTCGAGCATTTTTTACTCATATGGTAACGCCATCACTTGCCGGATGAGAACTAGAAATTTTGTTTTAAGTCATCATTTCGTAAATTCTATGGTCAATACAATGACCTTGTCAGCAAATACAATTTATCATTGAATGAAATGCTGACTGACGTTTTTCATACCAATTGTTAGTCCATTATTTATACACTGAATTCACTACGGATTTTTTTCCGTTATTTCCTGATTATGACAATGAGCACACGGCGGGTGTGACCGGTCAGCAGGGGATGCTCACTCCTCCATGGCACCTGATCCCACCTCTGATGTTTCGGAGATCCGTGTTTGCTCTGCTCTTATTTTGTATATTTGTTTAATGGACGTTGAGATTGTATACTGTTCGTTATTTCCATATCCTTATTTTATAATACATGTTATACACTACAATTGAGCAGTTTGCTATGTTTTTCGTGCCAGCATCTACTACGACATTGGACCTTGATTTATACAACTTATCCAAAGGACCAGTCTGCACGTCCTACAGTTCGATTGGAACCTGCGATGTAAAGATTCCTTACTTTGCGGCTCTAACCACCGCGCCACGCGGGAGAAGTCAATAAATTTAATTATTATTTCATTCATGTGAAGCCTTTTTTAACATTGAAATGGGTAAGCCTATATACGTACATATAAAGAAGGGATATTCAAAACAATAATTTCATGAACCAGTAAATTGATATAACATTAGAAAATAACGGTTTGATTTTTTCTTTTTTTTGGGGGGGGGGTGGGGGTTGATGGGGGGTACCTCTTTAAGTTAACAGTACAGGAAACAATAGCTTTTCTTCCATTTTATCAACACATTAATCATTAGAATTCTTCAAATTTGTGCGACTACACGTAAATACAATTTGTGACATTAACTTCGTTCATTATTGTTATATTGCTTTTGTTAAGTCTAGTGTGTATATCTTCAACACAAAAGCGGGATAACTACACAAAGTCATTGTTATCGACTGTAAGTAATTACATTGCCAATACAAGTTGTTTTTTTTTTAATTCAATAATCGTTTAACACCTTAATTGATTTCTCTGTATGAGTTATGTATCTGACAACATTACGTACAAGTACGCATGTAATGATTATGACATGGAAATGTTCAATCTTTTAGCAATTTATTACTGATTGGCTCATATAGTATGGACTCTTAATTTTCAATATACAAGGAAAATTTTACTTTCAAAATATTGATATCCACGCATCCCCCTCCATTTATTACGTAATTCTAGGTTTGATTCTCACAAAAAGAATTGGCATTTGTCTATCTGTCACAAGAAATTAAACTTTATCTCCCTCTCTCTCCTTAATATAGGTCGTCATTCGTACATTCTTTTTTTCCGTTTACCTACCCAGGGTCCCGGTAGCTGGTCCGCCAAGAAAAAGTCGGTAGTTATTGGTTTCGTCAGCAACAGAGAACTGGTCGTATAACTCATAGAGCCTTGTCCCATTAGTCAGTGTGATGGATACGTAGAGGGAGGTGTTACTTCTCTTAGTAAGTTGATGTATAACGTCATTTCCTTTAATATTTTATCGTCGTATAATATATAAAGAATTAATAAAGCAAAAAATATTTATTTCAAGTTGTCATATAATTCAACATATGATTATGAAGGTATGCAGAAATTTCTAATTTTGTAGTGCATGCAGCAATGAACTTAATGTTTTAAAATCAAAGTAGGGAAATTGTTATATATTGTATTTTACATAAATTGTTATTAACTTCATTTTAACTGCTAAAGAATTAAATGCTAATTTAAACTGTTAACAATCAGAGAATTATCATCCCCTAAAACAACATAAAATATTACACAGTTATAGAATGGGTACAATGTAAATAGCAAATTAATGGTTCCCCGAGGGAGGGGAATATTTCTGCATCTGGAACCCTAACCCTTTGGGGAGCTGTAAATTTGCTATGTCCTCTGTAGTCATTCCATAACTGTATATAATCTACCTATCCAGTAGGAGTCATTTGGATTGCCAAACCCTGTCTTGTAGTCAGTCCAGGTTCTGTCGAATGCCACCACACCACTCACACGTTTCTGGATAGCCTAAAAATTTATGAATCATGTCGGGTTAGTAAAGAAAGTAGTTTTGTTGTTTTTTTTTAATACATTTTTACTGTGAACAATGTTTCAAATACGTTATTTATTAAAAAGTCATTCAATTTAGGCATATTCTTTCATTTAAATGACAAATTAATTTTAAACTGAGCTAAAATTAAAAAAAAAACGGTTACCCCCCTCCTGACTTGGTCTGAATTTACAAATAAAAAAATAAATTCTTCTACAATGTTTATTTCCAAAATGATATTTCCATAGTACATGAAGAAATAATTGCTTATTTGGGGCAAAATAACAGCTTTTTGTAGGGACCGTATGGCCAGTCTGCCCACAGAGGACAACGAAACAATTCTTTAAACATTATCCGATTGTTTAATTTTATAAACTATTCTTAAAATTAAAATCTACTTAAATCTTTTAACTCTCAACAAACATTTAAATTTTGCCTCTTCATTCATGATATAGTACACATGTTTTTCTACTTTGTGATGAAAAAAAATATTTACTGTCACAATGTTATAAGCTTCTTGTAAGTAAGGTTATAAAAAATATTATTTCAGAATATTGTTCAAGTTTTACAATTTAAGGCTATAAAGTGCTTGCAGGGAAATATATAAAATTTTCCAAGGATTGATGCTGCATAGCAATTCTGTAAGTTGTAAAGAGTTAAAGTATTCACTTCTCAACAATTATTTAAGTTTTGCCTCTACATCCATGATATAGTACACATGTTTTTCTACTTTGTGATGGAAAATATTTACTGTCACAATGTTATTAGCTTTTTGTAAGTAGGGATAAAAAAATTATTAAATTTCACTGTTTGTCAGTTTGTTTTTATAAATATTTAATATCAGCTTTAAAAAATCATTTATAAAAGATATATTATAGTACCTGAAATTGATTTGAGAGAGAGGAAGGGAGAGACAGTGGGGAGAAAAAAAGTTTAACAGTTTAAAAGTTCATATAGGTTTAGTAAATAGAATTCATGGGATAGAGAGAGAGAGAAGAGAGGAAGAAAAGTGAAAGAGAGAGAGAAGAGGGAGAGAAAATACAAAAAATAGATCTTACTGTCCACCCTCCTCCTTCAGTCACCATGTCACAATACACGCTGACACTGGTCTCGTTACCAAAAGGAAATATGTTATATACTCCAGACTGTCTGTGTCCAAGTAGATAGTGGTCTCTACAATCCCTTGTTAGTTTTGAACCTGAATGAGAATATCAATACAAAAGTCCAGAACATCATTATTATAAACACAGAGAGAGTAAGAAAGGATGAAAGACAGTGAGAGAAAAGGATCAATTACCTTTTTCTATGGTTTTCCCCTCCGTCCTTGTAAAATACTGTTCGATAGCCGTTATATTTTCACTAAGAATTTTGAACTTTTTATCAAATTCCTGCAACCTTTTCTGTAAACAATTTTGCTTTAATATTTTCCCTGCCCTCCTGCTTTTGTTGTTTTGAGTATAATTTCTCTTTTTCAGATTCCAGTTTACTGTAAAGTGTTGTTTTGCTGTAAAGTTCTGTCACGTCTGTAAAGTGTTGTTTTGAAACCAGATCTCCATGTTCTGCTGTAAAGTGTTGTTTTGCTTTATAGTATTGATCTCCCTTTTTAGAGATTCCATGGTCTGCTGTAAAGAGTTGTTTTGCTTTAAAGTATCGATCTGTCTTTTTAATTTTTCGATCTTTTGCGATAAAGTGTCGTCTTGCCTAAGGGCTGCAACCTCTCTTTTTAATGTTGCTATCGTTTGCAGCAGAGTGGTGACCGTTGTCTCAGTGACTTCCAAGTTTCTCTTAACAGAGCTGACATCATTCACTGCTGTCCTGACATCATTGACCACGGATACCCGGATGAGGGTCTCCTGGTTGACGAGCTGACGGAGGACGTCGATTTCCCTTACATCACGTAGAGTAGAGTTCGGATTATAAGTACCAGTTAACAAGGAATCTGACTTGGCTTCGGAAATTGTTATCAGAATCTTAAATAGAATGGCAAACTTCATGGTTTGAACGTAGAGATTAAATGCTAGTGCTAGCGTTAGATATCACTTTGTCACGAGAAGACAACACACGGTGGTATATATAGAGACGGTTGGGGATTTCCCTAAATTTACCACGAGACATCACAATCAATTTTAAAGTAGATATTACTAACCTATAAGTAATGACGCATATTTGAAGGCGTTTTTGATGTTTTCTTCTTAAACCGGAGATAGTACTTAACAAATCAGGCCAAAAGTGATTGAATCTAATTTGAATTTTTCCATGCGTATTTGAAATGTCACTTAAAAGAGTAAAGTGAATGTTATCTATGGTTTATCTGGTTGTGTGATTTATTTATATATATAAAAAAAGACATGTATGGTCTATATTATTGTATGGGTATTTATTTTATTTGAGTATATTTTTTGTGGAAAATTTTATTTGTTATTTTTTTTAAGAGAGCATTTTTCTATAAACATGTAAAACTATATCTCATTTTGTCGTTTGAAATGTCTCTTTCTGAAACAACATTTGAAATATTCCCCCCACAAATATTGCAGACGGGCATTTATCAAAGATTGCACAATTATGGACTCTTTTGGTGTTGAATATGGTTTGTTATTCATCAGAAAAATTTTCTTATTGACAGAGGAGAAGCCTCATAAGAAAATACACTCACACGCACACACACCCTTATAGATTCACATAAGGAACTATTTGAATATATTTGCAATTTTGTTATAAATTAGACGATCTGTGAGCATTGCTTAACATTTACATGTAGAAGTGTCAATTAAGAAATTACGAGACTGATGAGAAAAAGACACCAAATTGATAATCCACTACTTCCATGTGTTATAAATTGAGGGGAAATGCAGAGGCCGGGTACAAAGTTCAGAAACATTCTGTACGAGAACCCAAAACAGTTACTTAAAGTTAAAAGTAAAGGTAAAAAGTTCTGGAACATTTTGTATAAAAAGCCGAATCAATGATTATGAGAATTTAAATTTTCTGTATGTGTTTGAGATAAAATTGGGTATTGTCCAACGCCTTTAATTTAGGATCGTATCCCTGATTCCCAGTTGCTTTAAAAAACATATTATTATGTAATTAAAGCATCAGTTTTTGAAAAATAACATATAATGAAAACAGGACAATCATAAAATATCTACCATCACGAGACTCTACTTTTCTCGATAACACTAGTGATTTATTAAGTACATCAATTAAAACACCTAACACGGTTTGATACTAATAATTTGGTTTTTATATTCGTAACTTCACCGACTGCACTATACCGGGGACACTTCATAAACCTCCCTCGACACAGATCTTATCATTTTGAGCGTCTTCTTTATCTAACAATCATTCAAAATTCTTGTGTGAAACATAAACATAACAACCATAATAATAACACGCAGATTCCAACACTTCTTGAACAATTTCTGTCATCAGGTTAATTGTTGATAAGCAAGTTGAGAAACGCCAAAAATATTATGTACCATATAAAGTGAGGTTATATCCAGATATAAATGCATAGCTTCCAGAATCATCTGCATTTGCAAAAGGACTAAATCAGAACTCTGAAAACAAAGATTATTGTGATAGGTAACGACACAGGCTTTCCACAACTTCCCACCTTAAAGACACTTCATTAGAATGAATCTCAAAAGCTGATGCATACCATGTTCAAATAGTTTCTCTCTCCCTCTTTCCTTTTGAAAGTAAGTAAATTTTCCTGTCTCGTATTATATCTTCTATATACAGCGCTCAAGGACATATTGCGGTGATGTTTGCTTCATTAGAAACTGGAAACTTGAAGTGCAATGTCCGATCTTTCTATTATTTTTTGAATGGTGTACACGATTTTAATCCTTTGAAATTAGTTAACTTATTTTATCCGACATTAATTCTGGAAGTACATTACTACGAAACTTTTTGGTATAAAAGTAAATTTTATCTTACAAATAAAAAAAAATTCAAAGAATTATTTCACTAAAGTTATTATATTAAATTAAATTTCTTATACATTTCATCAGAGTTTGGCGAGATGATCAAAATATTGCGTCACTACTGGACTTTGGAGTCATACAAATATACTTTGCTACAAAAAAAAAAAAAAAAAAAAAAAAAAAAAAAACTTTAAATATATAAATGTTATGTTTTATTTTTTATAGCACAGGACACGATTTTTCCCGTCGGCATATGCATGATTGATTTGCCTTTTTATAAAATTAAAACCAAAACGTCACATTATTTTACTAGTTTTTGACATTCTTATATAAATCAAAAGAATTGAAAATCAGACGTTGATATATAGTTATTAAGCTACACATGTTTTATAAGTTGTTTATCAAAAAAAAAAAAAATAAAGGACATAAAACACTCGTAAGAAGACGTGCCAATCACGAGGATTCTCCTCTTTGAGATGAGTAATTATAACAGATCACGAGCACCCTTAAGCATACACTTTATTTTTATAAGTGTTTTCTGTCTCCGCTTAACGTTACTTATGAGAAAAAAGGATTCACTTCAAAACATCTTAAATCACTATGAGTGAAGTTTTGTCATGATGGAATTCTACTATATGGAAAAAGCGTGGAATACCAAGAACAAAGCATAATAATAGATATAAAATACGTTGTAAAATACAATAAACATAAATGCATATCATTAGATTTGATATTAAAGTCCATTACTTACATATCCCAATATTTCTGTCAATAAAAAGTTGAATTTTAAAAATTGTAATCCATGAATCAATCTTACTTCCATTTCACAACTTTAATTCAAATCCCATGTATATGATTTTTTTTCGTAGAAAATTAAATTTGCTAATTTCATTCTCAATTAGAAGTGATATATTTTTAAAAGATAACAAATATTATCTCTTGAATGGTTTTTTATTCATTATTTTTACTCTTGGAAATATTTGATGAATTTATTTTTTTTTTATTTAACACCTGAAATGCCGCATTATATTTTACAGTATTTTTGCGAACTCTTTCATAAATCAGAGAATCAAAAATCAAACCCTGAGATGTCCCCAATTTAAAAAAATAAAACACAACACATAGAGATTGTTTAAAACTCTGAGTTTACTACAATATTGCCACACATGTATCTTACTCCTGACCTCATGGAAAAGTTGTATAAATCCGGACCCATAAAATATCCAGGAAAGGTAGAATATCACCCTTAAACCCACATAAACAGAGATTTAAATTACTACTCAAAAGCAGGTCTCCTATTAGGATCTTCGATGCCACATTTAGGTCTAATATCGACGTTCAATGTATATTCACTACATTGATAGGTTTGTTACACATTTCACCTTAACACATTCCAACTTTTTTTTTATCAAAATAAGAAGCAATCCTGTTCCAATGTTAAACAACCTTAGTTATTGCCTCTCATCAGACATGTTTACTATGGACCGATTATGATTGATTGATTGACTGTATATTGTTTAACGTCCCTCTCGAGAATTTTTCACTCATATGGAGACGCCACCACTTGCGGGTTGAGGGCTACAAATTCTGTCCTATGCTCGGCACACTGGGCCTTTGAGCAGTGAGGGATCTTTTCGTGCAAGGACCTACTGCGACAGGGAGCCTCGGTTTATATAAAAGCATCTCCACGTCCCGCAGTGGGCACCCCGCGACGTAAGGATTGACATGTAGAGCAGACGCTCTAACTACTGCGCCACGCGCTATTGACCGATTAAACAAACAGATAAGGACGGAGGTGTAGATGGCGATAAAAAATATCTCAATGAATTAAAATTCATATTATCTAAAACTTATTCCATGCTACAAAACTTATTTCTGCATAAAATTAACATCCAAAGATCTGCCATTCATAAAAAACATAATAACTTTCGTTGAAAACTTGGCGAAAAATTATACAAATTAACCCACATCCTTACAAAAAAATGATCAAATGTAATTCTATCCATGTGCTTGCAATAACTTAAAAATCAACAATAAAATATCTATCGTTCAGCAAGGTGTTTTTTTAAAATTCTACAAACATCATCTCTAGTTGTGATTTTTTCACAATTAGGAGGCTTTGTAATAATGACTTTCTAGCCGACATGAATATTCATAGAATTTGTTATATGGATCAATGTATATATATCTATAATTTTTCTTTTCAAAACTTATTTATATTTTTAATGTAGCAAACGAATCAGCATATCGACCTTAATTATATCATAAAATGTACAAATATTGATATGTGTTTCAGGGCAAAATTGGTTATATTATTCTCGAAGAGATGAACTATTGTCCGACGCATGGTTCATTTATAAAATCAAGTTCAGAGGATATGGGTATTCATAATTGAGTGTGTAAATAATAGCGTAACAATATGAAAAACGCCAGTCAGCATTTGATTCAATGACACATCGCATTTGCTAACAAGTCCATTTAATCTTCAATAATAATAAATTAAGAACTTTCATAAAGATGAATTTCAACGGGTTTTTGCAGCTAAAAAGTTACTTCTTAACAGATAAAAACACTTAACCAGATCATACTAGATTCATCAAGTAGGTTATATTAAAGTGGGACTTGTCTGCGAATATTCAGTTCAATATCTTAAATAAAAATCTGATTTTAAATAGAACCCATACGGAATGGTGAAGTTGACCGTCAAAAGTCGTTAACTAGCAGTCAACTAGTCGACCATGCAACTGATAACGTGAAAACAATTGACCATTAGGAGTTGAATTCTTTTCTGAAAATGTTCAACTGATTTGAATAGAATGGCAGGTTGACCATTAGCTGAATGCTAATTTTTTGAAAATTTCATGCAGAAAACCAATTGACCACTAGTTGAACACTCCGAATTTTTGAGATTTAATGTAATTAAATAGCTAAAATATTTCCACATAGTTTATGTTTACTATTCCACTAGAAGGAAGTCAAATGAATGATTTTCTAGAATCGGTATTCAAATTAACGTCTGTCCTGTTTGCGTTCAATATCACATCATTCCGATCACCCTACCGATCGATATGATTTGCTTATTTAGGTTTTAATTGGTGTAATACATACTAAATTTTAAATAAATAATTTCCTTTTCTGTGAAAAATAAATGCATCTTACCTATATGCCACCTCATTTCGTTAATTTAGCTCTAAGAAAATTGACCAGACATTATTTTTGTTTACAACGAGGCGTTCGATATTGAACACTCGTATTCGGAATGTTTCGAGCATATATGTATACGTAATACAAACTCAGCTTTCAATAAAACGTCAAGATACTGAACATTAAAATTATTTGAGACTATTTATTAGTTATGTAATAAATTCTTTTATTAACATGTATATTTTATTCGCATCCCTAACACTATAATTATATGCTTCTCTTCTCACCCCCAAACAGTTTTATCAAATTTAAAAAATCTGATTTGATAAAGTTTAATGGACGATTATAAAAAATCAGGTGGCGGATGATATATACAGGTTGTTAAAGAGTATGTTCAAATCAGGAAAGAACAAGTGGTTTATTGACCAATGCAGGAAAGCAGAGTAATATATCTCTGATCGTGCCCTGAAAATCTTGCGCCGTAAATTCCACAACATTTGCAATGACATAATGGGATCTGTAGCATTTTGTCTAAAAGACAAACGTATATATCAATATAAAGTTAAGGTTTTGGAGCTAGCTTTTAAATTTCAAACTGCGCAAGAGAGGCACGAAATTTAATTTCCGCTTATTTCGCTGCTCTGTCAAGACTTTCAACCTAAATGTCATCAAATTAAATCATATAATCCTTTGTTCTCCCATTCATTGATTTGGCGTTTTATATGCAACATTTTCGAGAAATATTTGCATTTCTACGTATTTAAACTACACACAAGTATAGAGATGATAAACTGATAGAATTAATTACTACTTCTCCCCAGTATTTTCCGCACAATTGCAAGTAAAGAGAAGCAATTTTAAACTACACACGGCTACGGAGATGATAGAATGATAGAGTTATATACTTCTCCCCAGTCATATGGCCTTTCACGGGGATTAGTTATAATTCATGGAGTGTATTAATGCATTTCCTCTCGTATACTTGATAATATTATACGATTATTAACAAGAAAGCAATAATATAAAAACAAACATTTAATTACGTAAAAAGATTCAATGCAAATGTCTTATTTTAGGAAGCAAGTTTACATGTACAACACAATTTTTAGGATATAATACATATTTGGACTTAACAATGCATTCATTACACATAATAAATGTATTACTTTATGAATAAATATGAATACCAACATTATGTCAAGATTTAAATCATTATCATCCATTATTTAAGTAATTAACTTTGCATAACATGTGTGAACAACTATTGATATAAAGATATATAAAGTCAGTGAGGTTTGATCATCATGAGAGTTTCTTTTATCTGTGTACTATCAGTCACTGTGGGATACCATGGTCTGAACCAGGACCCCGGGGACCAGGGACCGTTAAGGAAGGCGTGGTTACAGCTGTTAAACCACCAGCCTCCTCTAATGTTACTGGAAGCAGCACAGTTACCAATAGATCTGTCGTTGTCTCTGTCTGGGGTACTGAAGGACATCCCAGACAGATCGTAGTAAGAAGAACCTGTATCTGACATAGAGTCACCTGTAGAATTATCAAAGAAAAATATTACACGAACAGACTATATCATTATTATTTACTTAAAATTCAAAGCTTAAAACATCTATAGTATTTAACAATAAAACTTTTTTGAATTGCTTTAAATTGCATTGCTTCCAATTACAAAAGATGAACACTGTTTTCATTTAATATTTGACGTTGTTTTTCTGTTGTCATTTTATTTCTTTTTTGACTGTATACGAACATATTGATGAGTCTCAACAGAAATAAAAGATTGAATGAATGATTGAATGTTTGTAGTACAGCGTCCCTCTCGAGCTTTTTTACTGATATGGTCACGCCACTACTTGCCGGAGGAGAGCTAGAAATTTTGCCCTATTATACATGTTATACAGGACCATTGAGCAGAGAACGATGTGTTTTTCATGCCAGCACTTACTGCGACACGGATCTCGGTTTATAAGATCTAATCAAAGGGACCAGTCTGCTCTTCCTACGGTGGAATTGAACCCGCGACGTAATAATCGATTCCGTACTTCGCGGCTCTAACCATCGCTCGACGCAGGCAACGTCAATTAATTGAATTATTATTTCATTCATGTGAAGCCTTTTTCTGAACATCGAAACTGATAACCCTATATATGTACATATAAATAATGGATATTCAAACAATAATTGCAAGAACAAATAAATTGATATAATATTAGAAAAAAGGCAGTTTAATTTTTTTTAGGGGGAATGGGGGCCACCTCTTCAAGTTAACAGTACAAGGAAGAATAGCTTTTCATCCGTTATATCAACCATTAGTCATTAGGAATTCTTTAAATTTGTGAATCTAAATGCAATTTATGTTATAAACAAATTTGTGTAACTAGAAACAATTGATGTGATTCACGTATTTTGTATTGCTTTTGTAAAATCTACTATGTTTATCTTCAACAAAAAAGCGAGATAATTACAATAAGTCGTTGTTATCGTCTGTAATTAATAACATTTCCATTACAATTTTTTTTCAATCATTCAACACCTTAATTGATTTCTCTGAATGACAACATTACGTACGAGTACACGTGCATTTATTACTGATTGGCATATATAGAATTGAATAGGATTTTTAAATTACAAGGAAACATTTACTTTCAAAATATTGATATCCACCCCCATCCCCCCCTCCAATTAAATGCGTAACAATAGTGCTGGTTTTCGAAGAAAGACTTGGCATTTGTCTATCTGTCACAAGAAATTAAACTCTTTCTCCCTCTCTCTCCTTAATATAGGTCGTCATTCGTACATTCTTTTTTCCGTTTACCTACCCAGGGTCCCGGTAGCTGGTCCTCCAAGAAGTAGTCTGTAGTTGTTCATTTCATCAGCAATAGAGAACTGGTTGTATAACTCATAGAGCTTTGTCCCATTAGTCAGTGTGATAGATACGTAGAGGGAGGAGTTCCTTCCCTTGGTAAGTTGATATATGACGTCATTTCCTTAAATATGTTATCAATGAGTTATTAATGTCGTATATAAAGCATTTATAAAACAAACTGCTTTTTTTAATAATTGTTGTGTTAAAAGGCAACATTCAATTGTTATTATAATCAGAAATGCCATAATTCCATTAAACATACATGTTTTTACATGAAATAAGATAAATTCTAGTCCCTTACAATAACACCTGTTACTAAGATGTATTCTCGTTCGTCAAAACAACATCAGATATTATACAGTTATTGCAGTTTTGAGGTCAATACAATGACTTAGCAATCTGAGGAGTACATTATTCACCGAGCCCTAAAAAACAGCAATAATTGTTTTATTATATGATTCACTGATAAAATGATACAGCTCATTACTTGCTCACTTGCATTCAATTAAGTCCTAGCCTAAGTAGAGAGAAACAGGATAAAATTGTGAATAAACCTTACCAGTCGTATCGATTTGATATGTTTTTTTTAATCAATTTTAGTTGCCATGAAAAAAATATAATTTCAGATATTTTATAGGATAGATTTTGAAAGGAAGGAGTATAACCTGGGAAAACTCACTGCCAAAAAGTAAAAAAAAAAACGTTGTTCAGTAAAAGTGTTGGAGGGGGTCCCTGCATCCCGTCTTACCTCACTCACCCTAAAATATATATTCGCTTATGTTTTTTTCACATGAAAAAAATACAGTCGTTTAAATAGCTTTCCAAAACAACTTGTATCAATTTAGAATTTCCCAATCTATTTTAAGATCAATGTAGAGGAAATAAATCCTTGTATTGACCTGGAACGCCATGTGCAGGTCAATACAACGTAGTATTTTTCTAACATAGTTTGATCACAGCCAATCAGAGAGATGGAAATCATCAATCAAATAATAATGATAATTATTTACCAATCCAGTAAGAATCATTAGGGAAACCAAATCCATCCTTGTATTCCGCCCACGTTCTGTTGAATCTCACTGATCCACTCACACGTCTCTGGATAGCCTAAGGATTTATTTATTTTATGGATCAATTATCAAAAGTAATGAAATGTTTGTGAGTTACGTTGTACTTGAAGAATATTTAAAAAACGATAGTCATTCAAAAGTCATTCAAAGTTAGCATATTCTTTTAACCCCCTTCCCCGCAGTCACGCATTTTAACGCATGTGCTTTTTCCTACTTCTGACGCAAAATCACGCATTTACCGTTTCCCCGCAAACACGCATTTCACGCACTTCAAAAAGTTCATTTTATCTTCAATTTATTGCAAAATTCCTTCTATTTTATAATTGCTTTCAATTCATAAAATAAGGAAAGTAATTTTTTCATTGAAATATTACATCATAATATATTTATGCTAAACTTTATAGAAACTTGTACCAGACTATAAAGAGCTTGCGGGGAAACGGTTAGGTCATATTTCTTTGATGTGACATTAAGGGTTATGTTGCATAACAATTCAGTTAGTTGTAAAGAGTTAAGTAAGTTACGCACAAATTTTTAGGTGAAGTAAAATTTAAAATAAAAGGTCAGTAGGTAGGTTATTTTTTTTCAAAAATCAAATTGATTTCAATGTTAATTTCTTTTTAATTATATTTTCCAGAGTACATCTAGAAATTTGGTGGCAAAAATGAAAGTTTTAATCAGAGCAACCAAATTTATCTTTAAACATCGCCTGATTGTTTTCTTTAATAAATCATTTTTCATATGAAAATCTTCTTTTTTTATTCTCATCATCCTTTTAATTTTTCTTTTGTACACTCATGAAACTGAACACATGCTATTCTACTTTGTAATGAAAAGTATTGACTGTCAGAATGCTATCAGCATCATATTAGTTAGGCTAAAAAAATATTAAATGTGAACTCTGTGTCAGTTTGTTTTATAGAATAACGGTTAAATATCAGGCCTGGGGCCATAAAACGTAGACGAGCTATGTATTCCTAGGAAAAAGTGTAACTGAGATCAAAAGTTAGCTCCTCTAAGTTTTATGGCCCCAGGCCAGTTTTACAAAGTTTAGGAATATATAAAAGATAAAGTATAGTACAGTACCTGAAATTGATGGGATGGACAGAGACAGAGATGGGGGAAATGAACGAGAGAAGAGAAGCTAAAGAGGAAAAAAGATGGAAAAAAGATCTTACTGTCCACCCTCCTCCTTCATTCACCATGTCACAATACACGCTGACACTGGTCTCGTTACCAAAAGGGTTTATCTCATATACGCCAGACTGTGTGTGCCCAAGAAGATGGTGATATCTACAATTCCTTGTTAGTTTTAAATCTGTAATATAATATAATATATAACAAGTTGCTGTCCTTTAAAAAAAGGACTGCAATACGTAGACCATATGCATGTGTTTCGAACCGAAATTCAACTAGAAAATAGTTTTAGGTTTAGGGAATTTACATACGTTCATTTACATTTCCACAATGACCTGCCTACTTTGACTGATTAGTACATTCATAGCTAAATTATTAAATTTTATATCCGATTAGCCTATATTTAGCCTATAGTTTTCTAATTTAAAAAAGGTCGGGCTATTTTGATACATGCCAACCATATAAACTGGGACATAATATCTGTTCTGGACTTATACGGAAGAAATCTATCGTTAGAAAATAGATCTGATGGTTGAATTGTAGCACAGCTCTACAGTACGCAGATTTTTAAATTTTCGAACCCCCTCCCCCATGGAACACCGTTTCTACAGGTATCTGTTAAGGTAGAACCTATGTCGGAGAAGTCTTTGTCACAAGATTTTCAAACTTTTCATAATGATAAATTAGCACTTGCTTATCAATCAGTAAAAAGCACATGACATGTTTCCTTGTTATTAAATGTGGTGCAGCCAGTTAAACATGGAATGATAAATACATACAGGGTGTTTCACAATATATGTCACATATCTAAAGACAGATTTGATAAATGACACCAAAAGCTACATATATATTTTAAATATCATTTTAATCAGCATATATTCAAAAATAATTTTTTGAGTCAGAAGTATTGAAAATTCTCTTCTTCAGTTACTATGGCAACAAATCCTAAAATGTTATTCTCCAAGTGTTTTCACAACATTGTCCTAAATAACTTAAGAGACTAATGCTTATAAATTTCAGATCACTGTTTTGTAAGATTCTCAAGATTTTTGAGACTTTTCTTCTTTTATATCTGGGTTTTTAGAACCCCAAAACTGCAAATCTATTTTTATTTAAAGTTGCATTTAAATAAATGTGTCGATTCAGAACTGCCGGTATGTGTTAATTTGTGTCCACTTCTTTTGCTCTTCCTTAATTTCAGTCAATCTTGCAAACCTGGCTCTGAATGTCATTTGACTTTAAACGTTGGAATCTTGTATGTAGACACACTTTACTCAAACTTAAGATTTCGAAATACTCCTAATACACTTACTGGCATTGTTACAACACATCTCCCTAAACTAGGATCTGACTTTCATGAGGTTTTCTCTTTGGTTGACTTCACTCTGATATTGTTTTTATCTCTTCTTGATTTTTGGGGGGTGGGGTTGGGTGGGGTGAAGAGGAGGCAGGGTTTAGCTGGCTTTTATCTTTACATTATTATTTAATTAAAACCCTCTAGCTATTATTAATATAAGAAAAATAAACAGTAATTGCTGGTCTAGGTATTTTTTTTATTATAACCCCTGTAAAATATTTAAGATATCTTAAACGGTTCTAATAATAAAAGTTTACAAAAATATTTTTGCTGCAAGTTTTACTCCATTATGAGAAAGCTGAAATTATGACATCCCTGATTATATCATCAGCTACTTCGTGGTTTACAATAATTTTCCCGATACTACGCAATATAATAATTTTAGATCAATATGCTTAACTATAGTGTTTTGGTATCTTTGGTATCAGTCTCGATATTCAGATCATGACCATTTAGATGTGTGACATATATTGTGAAACACCCTGTACTTCGACTTCACAATTTCAGTCATTTTAGGGGTACTTGTCATGCAAAGAAGACAACAAAATCCCAGTATTGCTTCTTTAAACATCGTTGTTTTTATTGTTTATTAACTGAACAGTATTAAACAATATTTCCCGAGAATAAAATTCTTTTTTATTCAATTGACATAAAAGAAAAGTCCACATTTTCAACACTATAGGCAAATGAACTCTATTTATTTTCAGTCAATTTTCCGACCTACATTTGTAAATATATATCAGAAGTCTTTGTCACAATGTTTTCAATCTTTAATATAATAAAGAACATACCCAAATGATTACAAAATGTGATTAAAATATATACCTTTCCCCTCTAACGAATGAGAGATAGGTTATTTACCGATACTAATATTCTTGACCTTTTTGCACTTACACGCATTTTGTTATTAAATGACTGTTCGGGGCTAATTTCAGCTTCAAAATGTTTATAAAAAATTGTACTTTTAATTTAAAAGCTCATATTTAATATAGAAATTGTAATAAAACCCCATGAATATGAATAAGTAACAAATAATTATGAAATGGAATGCACATCATTTCATGATAGATATAACAAAATGTACACACAATCTACAACACGTACATCTTTGACTTAGACACATTTCATCAAGATATTACATTCTTTACCGGTAGTTGGCAACTGACGATTTTTTAAAAAGATTTTTGCATTCCTTCAAAATAATTACATACCATTTTATATTATTGCAGTTTGTTGTATACATGGCAATTTCATCGCACAATGTAGTCTTGGATTTGTCAACTTAATTAAGGTCAAGATCTATTAAATGAAAGGTGCCTACAGGTTTCTCTAATTCAAGAGATATATTGTCATTTAGCATTATATTAAAAATATTTATATAAATCGAATATTAAGATTATTTTGGCATGATTTTAAATTGAATTCTGTGAATTTCAAAATGCAGTTTTTTCTACCATTTCTATACTGAAGCTGAAAAGTACAAAACTAATGCCGATTTTTTTAAAGCTAGAACTTGTTGAATGAAGTTTTAAAATCAAGGTATTGAGTTATCTAATATGGTATACGTGTATACTCTATACGGCAAGTTCTTCCTACTTTTAAAAATGCTTATTATTTATATATATATATATATATATATATATATATAGAGAGAGAGAGAGAGAGAGAGAGAGAGAGAGAGAGAGAGCACTCGCGCTCACCGACTTGTGGGGAACTCACACCTGACAAAGGACCTTTCTTATGGGGAAAGTTCAGAATTGTGGGGAACTCTCTCGTTCCCCACAAATATGGTCATGGGGTTTTTTGAATTCTACGTGTTCTACTGATAATATTTATTCGATTTGTGGTCATTTTTGAAAAATTCCCCATAAGTCCGTAAAATTGACTCGCAGTAATTTTCTCACTGCACCGTAAAACGAATGTTTGAGGATGCTGGGAAATGTTCATTCGGAACGCAGCGGAATTTAAACTGGTCCCCATATGATACCAATTTATTGCGGGCAATGGTTGCTCCTAGAATATGTGGTAAGTAGATTTTTTATCATATTTTAAAGATATTATAGGCTGAAAACTTAATTTAACTACGTAAATCATGCATGCAGTTATTTCTTACAGACGTTCGTAAAGTAACATTTAATACTGAATGCACGTAAAACTTTGGGAAACTTTGACCCGACCTAGACCTCGGTTATTTATTTTTTTTAATTGTATCATGTTGATAGGCCTAATGGCTATCCTGAAAGAACAAACTACGGATTTATATGAATTCAGCATCCCCGGGATATGGTAAGCGTTTAAGGCTTGTCCCCATTTTTTTGTGAAACACGACTATCCTCCTCATGCCCATACAAATTATGCTAGACGGTGCGACTGTCTGGTCTTTAGCTGTTTAGTGAGGCCTGTGTGGGCGAATTAATTGTAAAAGTTAATCTGACTTAAACTGTACGTGTATTTATAAACGATGTCAGTCACACACTGACTCAGTGTCAGAAATGTATCACAGAGAACTCCACCTTTTCAAAAGGTCCATTGAAATCAGTACATTTATAGATTTACGTAGCTAAAATTTCTTAGCTTGGTTAGATTATTTAACATGTTTAATTCTTCCAAAAAAAGCTTGATTTAGTTATCGTTTTTTTATCAAGTCATTCTTCCTACTTGTATATATTTCTTCGCATGCGTTGGTTTGCATAGTGTCCATTTGCCTTCATTATCTTTCACCTGCACCCTGTTCTACATTCATCCTGATTGCCCTACTGAAAATATTTTCATGATTTTAGACCATCATTATCGATGTATCATAAGTATTTTTTTTTTATTTTGCTAAGGCCAAGATAAATAGATAGTGTTTCTTATTTTAACCTTAGAAAAGATAGGGTAGGTAGGTAGGAAAAACATTTTTATTTTATTTTAACATTTTATTGGCAGGCACGCTGCCACTTTCCCCCAGGATTTCACTGTCAAAATATTTCTGATTAATATGTGTAAGATATGCATTTCTCAAACATGGAAGTGATCAAGATTGGGATTTCATTTCTAATTGTAAACTGGAATTCTGAATACTGTAATATGTGTATATAATTTGGTGCTTTCAAAATTTAGCATAATCATTGGGTTGGCATAATCATAAATTAGCGCTACACATGTATGTGCGGTGTATTGTATATATCAATATGTAAATGATTTCTTAGCAGTATTCGTGACTTAATGCATTGTTGTCTGCACCAAAGCCGCTAAAATATGAAGCCTGCATTTTAAAGTATACATACAGTAGTTTACTCATGGAAAGATATTAGCAGAAAAAATATTGAGGGTCGGCTCCTATACTTCTTAGAGTTAGGCGGGGAACTAAACATGCTGAAAACACACTACTTATTTATATAGGCCCAATTAAAATGTCTAATAAGTAATAAACACTGATAAATTCATTTTAATTAAATACTTATTGTTAATTAAAGATCACCTTTTATTTTTAAAATTTGTTACAATTCAAACCTTGGCCTTGGGGTTTAGATGCTGATGGAATAAATAAGAAACAAAATCATATGTAAAAAATAACTAAAAATCCTTTTCAAAACCTCAATTACTATTGAATTATGATTGGGCGTGGTATACAAAATAATGCGAATTGGAGGAAATGGAGAAACATAGGAATAACAATTAGATCAGCTTTTATGATAGCGAGCATATTAAAAATTTGAAATTGGTTATAAAATTGAAAGGTAATGTTGAGATTTTAAGATTCAATATCTATTATTCATAATTATTTATATTTGCTTAACTGAATTTATACCTTTTTAAATTTATTTACATATAACGATCGCACTCAAAGTTTTGGGTCTGATAATGCTTCCTGATTTTGGTCT